CTTCGCTGTCAGTTCTCCCTCTGTGACTGTCCAAATCAGTGCCTATCCCATAAAGTCTCCACAGTCATGGAACCCATAAATAAAAGTGTCATTGCCTTGGTCACAGTACAGAAAGATTCTATGTGGGAGTCATGTACTTGACAGGCTGTGGTAAGGGGACTGCTAAATAACTTTTTTTGTTGTTTTTTGTTTTGTTTTGTTTTGTTTTTTGAGACAGGGTTTCTCTGTGTAATTTTGGAGCCTATCCTGGCACTCACTCTGTAGACCAGGCTGGCCTCGAACTCACAGAGATTTGCCTGCCTCAGCCTCCCTAGTGCTGGGATTAAAGGCGTGTGCCACCAACACCCGGCTTTGCTCAAGAATTTACAGTGTGATTTCAGAGTATTTTTGTTGGGCTGGGGATGTGCCTCAGTTGGTAGTATTTGCCTAACACACACAAAGCCCTGGTCCCACCCATAGCACTACATAAAACCAGACATAATGATGCACACCAATAATTGAAGAACTCAGGAGGTGGAGGCAGGAGGATGCTCAAGGTTTTCAGTTTGTTTCTTTGGTTTTTTGACGAAAGGTCTCTCTTCCTAGCCCTGGCTATGTAGACCTCATTGTATAGAACAGGCTAGTCTCAAACTCTTGGAGATCCACCTACTTCTGCCTCCAGAGTGCTGAGATCAAGGCATGTGCCATCAGTCCTGGCCTAGTTTGCTTTGTTTTGTTACAGGTATTTATTGGGATGCAAGGGGAAGCACATTCCTTGTGATGTGTTTTTGTGGCTCAGAGGACAATTTCAGGCATCATTTTATTCTGCCACCTTGTGAGTGCCTGTGACTGAACCCATGTTGTCAAGCGTGGTGACTCAAACCTTTGCCAGCTGAGCCATCTCACCAGTCCCTCTTGTCCAAATTTTAGGTTCCTCTTTGCCTCAGTCCTTTTTGTAGATAAAACTTTCACCCTTATTTTCTACACCAGCCGGCTTCTTCCGGAATATTTTGCTAGTTTTAAGATAGACTTGGTAGTAATTTAGAAACAGGTGGCCAGAAATTCGTAAGGAATCCAAAACCAGGCAAACACTGATACACATAAAATAAAGTTTAAAAATCTAAAACAAAATTCATTCACTGAGGAGAAATAAAGCCAGTGTGATTGCACACACCTTTAATCCCAGCACTTGGGAATCAGAGGCAGGAGGATCTCTATGAGTTCGAAGCCAGCCTGGTCTACAGAGCAAGTTCCAGGACAAGCTCCAAAGCAATACAGAGAAACCCTGTCTTGAAAAACTGAGGGTGGGGGGAAGAAAGCAGATAGTTCCCGAATTTGCTTAAGAGCTTTGTAGATATCTGATGGGATGAATGCAGAGTAGGTTGCACTCTGTCTTAAAACTTTAAGCAGCAAATTAGCAAAAGCAAAAGATCTGGGCATGTGGTAGACAGTAGGGCATGCTCACTGTCATGGAAACCTTTGTATGGGAGCCAGCAAAAGGGCTCAGTGTGAGAGGTGCTTACCTCTAAGCCTGATGATCTGAGGTTCTAGCCCTGAAACTCCTATGGTAGGAGAGAACCAATTCACTGATCTTCACAAGCACACTGTGGTGCATGTGTGCATGTTCTTGCCCAGCAAAAAATATTTAGAATAATTTTAAATTAGGTCTTAGCGGTGGTGGCGCACGCCTTTAGTCCCAGCACTCGGGAGGCAGAGGCAGGCGGATCTCTGTGAGTTTGAGGACAGCCAGGGCTACACAGAGAAACTGTGTCTCAAAACAAACAAACAAACAAACAAATAAATAAATAAATAAGGAATGAATCCTTATTATGGAATGTGAGGTCTGCTGGACAAGTGTGTGACAACACACTTACTTGCTGGTCCTTTGTCTTGTAACACATCTCAGTTTAGCTGAGTCCAGCTAAGTAGCCATGCAAGTCTTAGGAATACGCTTAGGAAATACACAAGGAGTTTGGGACTATTCCTGCAACAAACCTGAGGTTAAAAGTCAAGGGACACAGCAAAGCTGATACTTTCTGTTGCCTGGGTTGGACGACAGAAGAAATGGAGCAACCCATGTCTTAGCTGATCATCTGGGACAGATAGAAGAGTTGGAGCGTGGGGAAACGCTGCAGCAGAACTCCTCAGTCTGCTGGAGCCTCTCCCAACTGTTTCCTGTCCTGCTCCCTCTCATGGGCCTTGTGATGTTTCAAAGAAGCTGATGTCACTGCCAACATTTTTGGTTTTCTTTTTTCCCTGAGCCCTGCTTTTCTGCATAGTCTCTCACAAACAACTCCTCCCAACACACACACACACACACACACACACACACACACACACACACACACACGTACGTACATGACAGTCTCTATCTACAAATAGATCATTGATGGTTAGTAGTCATATTTTGAAAACCATTAGTTGCCTACTGAAGTGCTGGGCGATTTCCTGGGCAGCCATTGTCAAGTCCATGACTCCTTCATGAGTGATGGCGAAAGGGAAGGGTCTATTCTCCTGAGCCATAAACTCCCATGCATCTGATTTCTGATCAGGTTAAGGGATGGGGGAGGGATACAGTGGGGAAGGAGTTCTGGGGTGTTTCCATGGGGGAGCCATTAGTGATTCCCTTTACTTTGGGCTTGAAATATACTCTGAAGTATGTGTGTGGGGTGGGAGTAGGGAGGTTGCTTCCCTAAGAGCTGAGAGTTTGAGGAAAAAGACTGAAAAAGACTGAAGCAGTTGTGTAGGTCACAAGCCAGCCTCTGTTACAGTTACACCCATGTCCTAGAAAGGTAAAGAAAGGGAGTTGGCTTGGCAGATAAAGTGTGGGGACCAGAGGGAGTTGGGACTCTCCAAACTCATATAATCAGAAGGAGAATGATCAAAAAAGACACCTGGATGTCAACTTGGGCCTCCATATGAGTACATATACACACAAAACTTTAAAATAGCTGGGGAAAACTGGTTGACAAGACACCTGGCTGAGAAGGTGCTCGGACTATGTAGCTTGCAGGAAGGATTTGGCTGTTTTGGATGGGTGCATTCCTTGTTGAGCAAGCCCTCTGTGTCCTCTGTGTCTTGTGCTGAGCTCATCAACTGGGGCTTGTTCATTCCTGATCCGTGACCTCAGCTTGTGCTGTGGTCATCAAGCTCCCTAGGGCAGATGGAGAGAGAAGAGAGCGAGAAAAGCAGAGTAGGACTGTAGCCTCCTAAAAGAGGCCAGCAACACTGTCAGACCCCTCCAAGTTCATTTTCTGGACAATAATGCCCCCTAGTGGCAGACAGTAACAACCCGCAGGACATTTAGGTTGGTTTATACCTAGATTTGCAAATTGAACTCAGATTTCTTTGCTCTATGTTCTTTGACTCAACAGCACATGGGCAACTGAGAGTTTTTACTAGAGGGAGGGAGGGAGGGAAGAAAGGAGGGAGGGAGGAAGGGAAGGAGAGAGAGAGAGAGAGAGAGAGAGAGAGAGAGAGAGAGAGAACACAAAGAATGAATGACCTTTGACCATTGCTTTTTCTGCTTCCACTTCCCAAGTGCAAGGGCCTGGGTTACAGGTGTGTGCCACCACCCAGTTAATGCAGTGCTGTGGATCAAACCCAGGCCTTCAATCATGCTAGACCACTGAGCTACATGCCCCAGTCCAAGACTTCTTACTATAAAATCACAAAACGATACAAGTAAATATAAATTAAAAATGGAGGCATGAAGGCTGGAACAGATGGTCATGAGTTTGAGACTAGACTGCACCGTATAATGAGATGCTGTCGAAAGCAAATAGATGACATATGAGATGTTGATGGCATGGGCTGGCTTAAATGGTGTGATTGTGTAGCGGTCACTTTATGTGTTTTCCCAATTCCCAATTGTTTCATGTAATTCTATTTTTTTCATTATATTTCTTTATACGTATGTATGTGAGTATACTTGTTACATGGTGTTCTCGTGGAGGTTAGAGTTCCTACCATGTGGGTTCTAGGTATAGAACGCAGGTTGTCAGGTGTGGCAGAAAACACTTTGAACTTTCGGGGTGGTAGTGGCATACACCTTTAATCCCAGCACTCAGGAGGCAGAGACAGGTGGATCTCTGTAAGTTCAAGGCTATGGAGTTCCAAGACAGTCTCAAAAGCTACAGAGAAACCCTGTCTTAAAGGAAGGAAGGATGAAAGGAAACACCCTGACCCACTGAGCCTTCTGACCATTCTCCATAATTCTTCTCTCGACTTTCTTTGGTAATAGTTCTGTTGCGTCTATGATGCCAAAAATCATCCTTTGACAAACCATCCCCAAGAAACCCAAGTACATCATTTGGATGTACTGGGTTCTTAGCAACCTGGTATGGATTAGTTATTGTTTATGCTTTCAGTTGGGCTGTATATTCATGGATATAGAGCCGTTGGCGATGTCCAGTAAATAAAGTGGAAACAGTAGGAGGGCATTAACGTTGCTCATGCTACTGCATCCAACAACCACAGAGGCCTGGGAAGTTGCTCAGTGTGTAGCCCATTCCCACCACCAAGGCCAGCAGCACAGATGAGGACCGGGATGGATTTTCCACCCCTTGCTCTGCTCACAGAAAGACCTGTGAGCCTAGAAGCTCCAGGAACTGAGCAGATGGGCGTTAGCGGTGTGAACAAATGAAAAGACGGCTGCAGGGAGGAGCATCAAGTTCAGTGTGCCCTTTATGTGTAAGTCTGAACTTGGTGATGAACCTGAGATCCCTCTTTCTGTGGAAGTGGTCGAAAAAGTGTGCCGAGTCCTCTCCCACGCACAGAGATCACATAGTCCATTGGAACTATGCAGCCCGCAGGCTCCTCACTGCACCTGTGAAGGGTTGCTGTGCGGGCTTGGAGAGGGGTTCGCTTTCCTGTCTCATCCTCTCGTTTCATTTCCTTCTCTCGAGGCCCGTTATGAGGGCTGGATAGGGTGTTGCACAGAAAAGAGCCAACACACATTTGCGCGGCTGTGCACGCCACCTCCCTGGCCTCTGTGCCTATCCATCTTCTCTCTCTTGCAGTCCAACAAAGTTCCTGTTGTTCAACACCCCCATCACATGCACCCGCTGACACCCCTCATCACCTACAGCAACGACCACTTCTCCCCTGCGTCACCTCCCACACATCTCTCCCCGGAGATCGATCCAAAGACAGGTGAGTGCTCCCTGCAGCCCGCTGTGCTCCCATGGGGTGGGGTACAGAAGAGTCCTTGAATGGATAAGGTATGTGTTCAGATCTTGTTGCAGATCTCAAAGGGTTGGTCACCTTGCCTTGTGAGGACTAAAAGCAACGAAACAAGTTAAGTGTAGAGCCTGTAAATTCAGAGTTCTGTCCAGTCCATCTGAGGCTGTGCCTCTGTAAACCAGATCGTGTGCCCTGCACCATACATTTCAAATAAGGGCCTTCTGGACAGACTTTAAAATAGATATAACACAGAGGGGCGGGGCTGGCTTTATGTGTTGTTGGAGAAAATTAACTGCCCACCATACCTGTCCATCCCTGGGAGCCAACGTCTTCATAACATTCCTCCTGAGCCACTGAGGTTCTAGAAATCTTCAGAGCCCTTGTTTGGAGAAATAACGATTATTGTGGTGAGGGGGATAAGGGTAGAGTGGAAATCCAGAGTTTAGAGGCAGGGTGGTTTGGTGGCAGAGTAAGTTTATTGTGCTGGGAATGAAGCAGGTTTTCTAGAATTTTAGTTAAAGGATGACTCGGGATTTTTTTTTTTTTTTCCTCTCTGTTGGGTGTGTTCTGGACCATGTATGGATGCCTGTCCAGAAAACAAAAGAAAGTTACAACCACAGAGAAAGCCTCTGCGTGGTTAGCGGGAAGGTATACAGGGCCTCCCTCCCTTTGGATGTCCTTGAGTGGCAAACCAGAGCTGCTTGAAGCTGGGAAGGGCAGAAATGATGAGAGACAGGGGCTTTCCAGGGTGTGGACAACAGGGGAGGGGGAGGCTCCTATTGGAGGTTATGTGCGTTATGAAGTCAGGGTGAGGGAAGTATTTGACACGTCTCTCTTTGGAAGCAGGAATCCCCCGGCCCCCTCATCCATCTGAGCTGTCACCGTATTACCCACTGTCTCCAGGAGCTGTCGGACAAATCCCCCATCCCCTTGGCTGGCTTGTCCCACAGTAAGGAA